ATATATATTGAATATATATCTGATATATATATATTTAATCATATTGTTTCGTGGCATATATTTATAGTTATATATTGTTTTGTTTTTCCTGTCTGCTTGTGCTCATATTGTTTTGATAGAGGTTCTATATATAGGCCTTACAGTTAGCACTATATGCTTAAAATAAATATAGATGATATTCGTTATTATGTTATTTATATCAGATCGTCATCGCTATACTCATCAGTTGGGTATCTTATGGTTAACGTTGTCTCTCTCGATACGCGGGAAGACAATCAATGTTGTCATCATGTTTCTATATGCACTCTCTCTATATATATAGATATAGTGCGCATAGTAGATTGACTTAACACGACAATATATCCAGGCGTTGGTCTATTATGAGCCAATAACACACATGCGACATACAAGGATTAGTACAATACAAAGTGCAGCACACGTAGTTTATGTCAATGAGTAAGGGAATAAACAGTTCATGAGATGGTATTTAGAGGGGAGGGGAAAAAGTGAAAAATATATATGCAAACATTATGAAACTATTGATAATAGACAGAGGGTAACAGAGAAAGAGGAGGAAATGAGGCACCAGAGAAAGTAAAAGAAATGAGGGAGAGTGTATCATAAAAGTAAAGAAATAAGGAAGAGTGACATAAAGTAAAGAAAATGAGGAAATGAATAAAAAAGTAAAGAAGATGAGGAAGAGTGACATAAACAAGTAAAGAAGATGAGGAAGAGTGACATGAAAAAGTAAGATGAAAAAGTGACATGTATTAAAGTAAAGGAAATTGAGGAAGAGTGACATAAAAAGTAAAGAAGAAATGAGGAAGAGTGACATAAAAAGTAAGGAAATGAGGAAGAGTGACAAAAAAGTAAAGAAATGGAAGAGTGACATAAAAAGTAAAGAAATGAGGAAGAGTGACATAAAAAGTAAAGAAATGAGGAAGAGTGACATAAAAATGAGAAAGAGTACAGGAAAGAGAGGAAATGAGGCACAGAGAAAGTAAAGAAATGAAAGATGACATAAAAGAAAAAGAAAGACAGGGGTACAAAAGAAAGAAGAAATGAGGAGAGACAGTAAGAAGAATGAAAAGGAAGTGAGTAAAGAAAAGAAAGAAAAGTACATAAAAAGTAAAGAAATGAGGAAGAGTGACTTACAAATTAAAGAAACGAAGAAAGATCTAGGCTGACAGAAGCATGAGAAGAGAGAAGGGAGAAGAGAGAGCGAGTGAGAAAGTCAATGGATCAACCCGCCTGCCTTGAACCAATATATTTACCTTCTTAAACCTCCAACAAACAGGATTTTTTTCAGTGATACAGCATCCTAAATGCCTTGTGTTGAACTGTATATTTATTCAGAAACTTATTGATTGTGAACTGAAAAAAATCATGAAAAAAACAATCATTGAACATGTCTCATACTTCCACTAAAACATTTTTTTCATAGATGTTTAGCAGGTAAGTTTTTCTTCTTCATAATTACCATGTGGCGAAAGTTAGATTTTTTCTTAATAAATGGTATTTAGTCAAGTGGTCATGAAAAATACAGGTAATAGTTATATTTTGTTTTCTCTTTATAGATTATCTGATGGCTGCAAAAGTATAAATACGTTTTCTATGAACCGATACGTTTTCTTTGGTTTTATTTTAAGGGGAAATGTAATTAAAATAGGAATACTCAAAATATGAAAATAGGACAACTTAAGAGATGTTTATATACAACATACAGACATATATATATATATATATATATATATATATATATATATATATATATATATATATACATATATATATGCAAATCTAAGTAAGACAGCGCCTATTAGTTAATATATATATTCTTTTTTTTCTCCTATCCCTTCAATCTTGGGCGGACCCGTGGAGAATTGGGGTTGAAGTTAGGCACACACACGAAAGAAATAGTGGAATTAAAAGTAAAAAAAATAAAAAATAAATAAAAAAATGCAACAAATGGCGAACGAGATTCGGCGCCGCGTTCGGGATGCGCCGGTGTCATGTTGCCTGAAATCCGACGGAAAATTTCTAAGAGTGAACTAACTAAGCTAGATCGCTAACAAACTAACTAACGTAGCGTAACCTAACCTTACGTTAGCTAACTAACCTAACCTAACTTACTTAACTAAACTAACCATAGGACTAGACAAACCAAACAAACAAACCCAAACACAACCTAACGAAACAAACCTAACCTACACTAACCCTAACTAACTTAACCTAAACTATACTAACCTAACCTAACGTAACACTAACCAAACAAACATACCAATCAACAAACAAACAACCAAACCCTACCTAGACTAGAACTAACTAACGTAGCTACCTAACCTAACCTAAGCTAACTAACTATATAAGTAACCTAACCTAACTAACTAACTAACTAACCAACCTAAACTAAGCCTACGCTAACCTAACCAACTAAACCTAACCTACACTAACGAGCCTAACCTATACACGTAACTACCTAACTACACTAACCTACAGCTTACGTAACTAACTAACCTAAATCTAACTAACGTAAGCATAACATAACTAACCTCTAACTAACTAGGAACTAACGTATACCGTAAGCTAACTACGCTAACTAACAACCTACATAACATAACGAACTTAACTAACTAACTAACCTATACCTAACTAACGCAACCTAAGCCTAACTAACTTAACCTACTCAGCTAACTACCACGTAACGTACGTAACGTCACGTACGTACGACGATAAACCGAACGTAAGACTAACCTAATACTAAACTAACCTAATAACTAAAATAACCTAACTAGACGTACGGTAAGTAACGTAACGTAGTAACGAACGTACGAACGTAAACCAACTGACTACCTAACCTAACCTAACTAACTTACTACCTAACCTAACCTAACTAAACCTACCTATACCAACACTAACTATTACTAACCTAACTAAACTAACTAGACCTAATCTAGAGATAACCTTAACCTATCACTAAGGTAACATAACCTAACGTTAACCTAACTAACCTAAAATAGAACCTAACCTAACGCTAACCTAAGCCTAACTGTATACTAGCTGGAGCGTAGTGAAGTACGGTAAACTAACGTACTAAACCTATATCTTAGACGCTAACCTACCTACGTAACGTAGACGTAGTAGCGGAACGTCAACCGAACGTAAACTAGACTAACTGAACCTAAACTACTAGCTAACCTGACTTAACTTACGCTTCACTAAGTTGAACTTTGAATTAACTTTAACTTTACTTAACTTAACTTAACTTAACTTACGCGCTAACTGAACCTAACTAACCTAACTAAATGAACTTAACCCTAACCTGATGCTAAAGGCGCTACCTACCTAGGACTAACTAACCAGACCTAGAGCTAGCCTAGACGCAACGTAAGCTAACTAACTTAACCTAGACCTATACCTAACCTAGACTAATTGAATTACTCTAACCTAACCTAACTAATAACCTAACGTAACCTATAGGGAACTTAACTAACCTAACTAACGTAACCTAACTCTTACCGTCGATAGATACTAACGTAAGCTAACGTAACGGAACCGGTAACGCTTAACGCGTAACCGTGAGTACCTAACGCAAACTAAAGCCGCCTGAACGCTCTAACCGATGTAAGACGTAATTCAGCTAATCTGTAGTTTGAACTTAACTTAATAAGCTTAAGCGTTGAGACTTAACTTAACTTTTAACTTAACTAACCTAGACTAAGTAAGGCCTGAAAGTCGG